ACGATGAGTTGAGCTGCACTGACAATTAGATTGAGCTTTCTGTCCTTTCAAATTACGTTTTCACCTCTCAGAGTCTAGCTTTCCTAAGAGCAACAACGTCCTTCCAAGAGCCGGCATACCGGTTCTCTAGTGAACTCCTTTGGACAGTGATTACGTCCGCTCCGATACCGACCAGAGCTGGGATCAGTTAGGCTGGTCCATCAAAGACAGACGGTGTGAAATGCGGCCTTACTTCAAGGCGCCATCTGTCTTTAGAGGAGAACGACGTACTGCAGTTATGGCGGAAGATCAGGCAATTCCCTCCCAGACATATCTTAAATAATCGATCAGACTGTCTATCAAATCCTTATGATAGTATAGAAGAAGGCCCTTCCATCTTTGACCTTATAACTTGGCCCCACTGTGGCAAGCTTCCCGCCAAGGAAGATTAAGGGGAGCCGGTTCGTTGGGGCCGTGGAGGTCTCCATCCTCTGTTCATTGTTGTGCCTGGCCAACACATTTCTCTTGTGCAGAAGCATACGAATAAGCATACAATATCCCATCAAAATCTGGACTCCAGATCTCGGGATAGCCACCATTAAGTAGCCCAATTGCAATGCTGGCAGGTTCGGTTCACTGAATTGCGCTTCTCACTTCCCAATTCGCGCCTTCGAGCAACAACGGCCAAGAGACGAAGACCTTCAAAGAGCCGGTCAACCGGCCCCCTCCGACCAGGGCGGGAAGTCCCTCCAACGGGAGGCCTAGGATAAGAGGGGGAGGTTTTCCCTCTGCTGCGTGCGCTATGGGGGGCAAGCGCAGCGTGCTAACCGTAAGGGGAGCACCAACCCTGTTACCCCCGGGGGGAGAGGATCGACGACCGCGGTTATCATTCCCTCTTTCCCCAATAGTTCCTGCTATTCTACGTCAGCCTTCAAGCCGCCGATTCGATCGCCGAGCGCGAATCTCGGTCCCACGAAGTGAACTTGCCAAGAACGTGAATTGATCGGCCCCGTCCAGGTGCATCAGCGGTCGATCGGGACTGATCGGTGTGGTGCCCGGCGCTTGTTGCGATCATTGAGCCACTGTTTACACCTCGGGCTGGATACCCGATTCCACGTGCCCTTTTCGGAGTGTCCCCCGTGACGCCCGACGTCTCGAGCCAGCAGATTGAGCCAGCGAGGCGAAGAATGACGAAGTCCTGGTAGAAGCACTCCAGACATCTTACCAATCCTTAATGTTTGAAATAGACGGTCTGTTCTTCTCTCTTCTCTTCTCTGAATTGCGCTTCTCGCTCACGTGGCCTTCTCACTTCGCAATCTTCGTCCAAGAGCAAAAGTAGCAGAGGCGGCTTGTCACAGTCCTGTGATGCGTCTCTACTACGTCGCACTAGTTGCAGCTGCTGCATTGTATACAAGCACTGATGGGCTTCCTGTTGTCACCAGCTCAGCCCTGAGAGGAACCGCCGCCGACAAGAAGGAGCTTTCCATCGAAGACAAGACAGAGCGCTTCCTCATTGCCGAATCCGCGACTGCGTTAAACGCCCAGATTGGGCAGGATGTAAACACGCCCGATGAAGATGAGGAAGAAAGAAAATTTAAGTTGTTTAAGAGAAACAAGCACAAACACAAACACAAGCACAAGCACAAACACAAACATCATAAGAAGAAGAAGAAAGGTTCTTCATCATCAAACGACTCTGGCTCCGGCTCCGATAATCCTCGTTGACATCGTTACCGTCAATTATTCGATTGACGACAGAGTTCAAGCTGGCATTGTTCTAGGCTAGCTGCTTTCTCTTGCATTAACATGATAAATACACTTTTTGACCTGCTCAACATTGTAATGGTGACGCTAAATACCCATCAAGTCTTTGAAATTTGTGAACTTGCTGGTGTTTAATGTAATGGAGTAGATCGCATGATACATCACTCGATTGCAATTCCATCCACGAATGTTTTTTTGACAGGAAGGCAAACGTCGCTTGATACCTGCCGCTAAAAATACCGTGTAGTTCAGTAAACAACTGCATGGTGCATTCCGCATCAAGTTGTCAAGTACTTGACTTCTAGAATGATTTCTTGGCCTTCAGTTGAGACAAATTGTAGCAGTTTTCGAATCATTCGCTTTTACCGCGAAAGCGAATTTGTACTTGTCAGCCATTATAGCTGTTTAAGACTAGATGGGCTTTGTATCCTGTCCTGACGCAAAAGAATATACACTCGGTCTAAAACAGGAATCCTTGATACTTCTATTCAATGTCACGTACAATAACTCTGTTCAACGCCGAATATGCATTGTAGAAGATATCGACACCTTGTCGCACCCCCACAAAACCTGGTCAAAAGAAACACATCATAACTTAAACAGCCTTCACCGACTATTCACGTCGCCGTGCGTCAGCTCCAATTTACGTCAGCTGAAGCCATCTCGCAGGAGGCGTCGATGAACCTCCCAGTACTGAACGGGTCAGGGAATCGAATGCGCGATGCGTGCAAATACAGTCGATCGGCAGGACGCCCACCGTACTTGGCGTCCCCGACAATCGGTGTATCTAGCACTTGTGCGCAGTGCACTCGGAGCTGGTGCTTGCGTCCGGTACGAGGCTGGAGCTGCAGCCATGTCCCGATAGGCTCTGTCTGATCACTTTGCCGCAGTACTCGCCTCACAAACGTGCACGCCGACTTGCCGTCCACCGGGAGCTTGATCTCCCGTCCCTCAAACTTCTTCAAGCTCGTATAGCTGTTATCTGCAAATGAGGATGCTGCTACCAGCGCTTGATACGTCTTGTGCACATCACCATTTTGCAGTAGCTTCGAGAACTTCGCGGCCGCGAGTCTGGAGCGCGCCAACACCAGTACCCCCGACGTGTCCATATCGAGTCGATGCACTAACTTCAGCGTCCGATGCTCATCCTCATTGTGTTGTGACTGATAGTGCCTGCCTGTTAACGATGCTGCAATGGACGGCAAGTACCGATCCAACGACTCTATCAACCCCGAGCCGCCCTATAGCATAATGACAATACAAAGGTCAATCTTTCTCTTTCTGTCTAGTAATAGAAATGACGAGCGATTGCTTTCTAGCATGTATCAAACCTGCACTGCAAGTCCGTAAGGCTTATTTAGTATCACAAATTGCTTGTCCTGATACAAAAGACGCTGTTTCAAGTGCCTCACTTTCGTCTTGTCTTCCATCGTCATCAGTGTCTCTTCCTGCCTTGTCACTTGCTGTGTCTTCCGTGCAACTGATTCCATCTTGGATCGAAACAAATGTACATCAATGGACACGACCGAGTCTTCAAATAGCAGCGAATTGGCTCGAGATTTTTGGTCACTTGATGAAGAAAATTGCAGTCGGATTTTGCGTTTACGTAGCTGCGTCTGCAGAAAACTCTGTGATAGCGACGGAAACTGGTACCGTAACCATCGGTCTAGACGAAGCTCCCGGTCCTTCGCGTGTACCACGTGCCGCATCCAACGGACCTCTTGTTGCCACATGATCAAGTGTGACTCAGACCACAGTTGGGATTGTGTGATGGCTACATTCTAGCACACTTGAATGACAACGACAGTTACATAGCACTTTTGTACGTTTGTCCGTTTGTACGTGCTTTGTTTCGCGCTAGAGCCTTTTCTTTCTTATCAAGTCTAGACAACAGCATAACGGCAGCTTTGTGTCGATGCCGGTATGTCGTCTCGTAGTCGTCATCACTTGACTATCAGCGACAAGAACCGACTACGGCGCTACCATAAGCAGCACCCAGAGTTGACACAGGAAGAGCTGCGTGAATGGGCATATACGACGTTTGGTCAATGGATCGCACGCTCCACCGTGGGCCACATCGTACGCGCTCCCGAGGAGGTGAGTGCCAACCCGGAGGCCACACGCTTCCAGAGCGGTCGTTATCCAGACATGGAGCAGGAGTTATACGCACTTATTGAGGCACGTTGGCGTCAATTGGGTGTGACTATGAAGGAAGCTGGTGGTAGTCATGGACTGAGTGATGCAGAGCTTTGGACCAAGGCGAATGAGATTCTCAAACGTACGAGGGGCAGTGACGAGAGCGTGTCAGTGGCTTGGGTACATCGTTTTAAGAAGAGACATGGACTGCATCGATGGCAGATGAAGAGAGCAGCTGCTGCAGTGGCTCCTACAGGGACGGAAGAGATGGAGATGCAGCAGCAGCAGACGGTTGTAGAGCATTGCTTGGATGGGACAGAGAGTGCAGTCTTGGGTGTGACAGGAAACAAGAGAAGTACCACTGAGGTGACGGAATTAAGTGAGGTGACAGGGACATGGATGGACTCAGCGAGGAAGAGACCAGCTACTACAGTTGCAAGGACTAGTGATGCTTGTGCTTCTACTGCAGCTACTGCACATGCTGCAGCTTCTTCATCTACTGTTGGTACTCGGTCACATTTTGTTTCGTCGGATGACATTTTGCTACTGACACATGTGCTGGCCATTAAGCCGTGGGGTTTTCCGTATGCGATGGACGGATGGCAGCAAGTAATGGAAAAGCTGCGGTCAGATGACTCGTTCCGGCTGGAGAAGACGGCGGGTGCGTGTCAGGCGCGGATAAATCTGCTGTTGAGTCACATGAAAGCCGGCAACACGTCGGCACTGCGCAAGTCCGGAACGGAAGAAGAGATCGACACGAAGTGTGCGTTGATTGCAGAGGTGGCAACGCAGATTGACGAGCATGCGCGCGCGACTCAGAAGAGGAATAGCAAGTCATTGACAGTAGTTGGCGATCAGATGTCTGTGGCGAAAGATCGTCGAGAGACGGCTGCTTGTACTGGAGTACCGGATCTTGTGAAGGATCGTGAGCAAATAGCTCAGCGTCGTCTGGAGCTGATGGAGCGCAAGATGGACCGGGAGTTGGCAGCACAGAAGCGTCACTCCGTAGAGCAAGTTATGCGGCTTGAGCAGTTGTATCGTGAACAGCAACAGATTCAACAGGAGCAGCATGCACAATTACTTGCTACAATCCAGCAGCAGCAAGCCATGATGTTTGACCTCATCAAATCATTGGCTTCTTCGACTAATTAATAGCTAATGTAGCTTCAATTGATGGAGGGATGCGTAAGAAGTAATTTTGACTTAAACCTACAACTTGTTAACAATATGTTAGCTATCCCCCCTTCTGCTTCGAATAAGTCAGATTCTTATTGTGCCATCTATTCGTCTTTTGATTGCTCAATAACGTTAGGGTGGTAGATAAATATCGCTTCCAAAACACTTGATAAAAAACTTGGGCTGCCACGCTTTATCATAGCCATGGTCTTAGCAAGTGTTATATATTAATTATCTGTTCTAGCAGTTGACCTTTTGTTTCGTCGATCACATATTTGTCGGCAGTTTAAACGACTCACACAACTAAAGCCTTAGCCACATTCTGCGCCATCTCCTGGCTACAAAGTAGTTCAACAAGCTTTAATCCCATCTCGATGGCAGTACCAGGACCCTGACTAGTAATGCACTTGTCATTAACTACAACACGCTCATTCGGACGGTAATCTACTCCGACCATTTTCGACTCGTAGCTCGGATACGTCGTAGCCGGGCCAGAATCAAGTAGTCCATGGGGCAATAGAACAACGGCTGGAGCCGCGCAAATGCCACCGTAGTATCGGCCTTGCCGTTTTTGTTTTTGCAGCATTGTTATCAGCTCGGCCGAATCGTGGAGATGCTGAGCACCAGGACCCTATTCATACCACGTTTCAAGCAATAGGTTGCAACAATCAGAACTCAAAGGTTTCTAAACCGATCTATGATTAGCCTGAAAGCTCCTGCTCACTTACTCCGGGGCACATGATGAGATCAAAACTGAGATCAACACAAGCTTCAATGGCGATATCACCCTGTACTTTCGTTCCTTGCGACATGGTCACGATATTCTGCATCTTGCGACCAACGCTCGCCAGCGTCACCATCATACCACCACGTGTCAGAACGTCTGCCACCGCAATCGCCTCAATCTCCTCCGTCCCGTCAGCCTTTCATTGAAAATGACAACGTGAAAAGAATCGACTTAAGATATTGCTAGATACAAACAATGCAAGCAAAAGCTACTGGACGAACAATCGGGATCAGCACTGCACGGGGTTCACCTTCCACTGTGGACATCGTTTTAATTGCTTTCAAGCCTGAAAAACTCAACTGACGTACAAAAGAATCTTTCAATTGCCGTATTTAATAGTCGATGCCACCGTTGACAGCACAATTGTCCCACGTCCCATGTACGTTGGAGTTGTCACGTGTTTGCGCATCTGATTGGTTGAGAAAAGATTGAATACTGACATATCAAAACACGTTGGTGCGTCACACTA